TCTTCTTATTGCCCACATCATAAGTAGAGTTAAGATTACCCTTAAGACTTCTGGGGAAGTGTGACAATTTCGCGATATTGTTTTATATCTTTTCACCAAAAATGATAGTTTTTATGAATTATTATCTCATGTGAATTGCCCATTATAATTTTTGTCTCATTTATGAATTTTCAAGTTCTACTAACTAATTTCAAAACATGAATTCCAATAAAATTTATGCCTAAGAAAAGAATCAGAACTACAATACAAATCTAAGTGTAATTTCACTGAAAGGGAGAAAAATGTATGTTTATCCACATGGGAACATACACGGAAGGCAGAGGGAAAGATGTTTTCCATGAAGCTAATAAGTACAAGATCAGGAACATGGACTTAACATTAGCCTGGAATCACACACCCTGTTCCCCTGACCTGCGCTAGAATCACCATCCCTCCTCGAGACTGGGGGCAGAAGACAGGACTGCACATGTCATTTCGTGTTTTTCACTCTTCAAACACCATCTTATGAGCAATTAAAGCAACCATCAGTAAGTTTAGGTTTAGATAGAATAGATGTTTGATACAATTTGTTCATTGACACAAGTTAGTTGTCCTTTTTAGACTAAAGGGGGAATTGTAGGAGGAAGCCTGTATGCCGCCATTAACCATGTGACTTACTAGAGGCGCATACAGGCTTCCTCCTACACATCAGACTCTCGGTGAACTGAACCAGCTCTGCTTTACCAAGCATGCGTACAGGGTCTTCTTAGAGTGGTTGCAGCTGTGTTGTCCTTAGAAGTCCCTTTGCCAGCATGGATGAATCACCTTCCTCCCTCTGCCTGATCTCAGAAAGCGTAGGGTCCAAGTGCACCACCTCTAGACATGGCAGAGTTTGTCATATTCCTGTTGAACTCATTATCCAAGCACAGCTCATGCCAACTCCTCTTTCACCATGCACCATCTTTAGCCCAAGCTAGTTAAAGAAATCAATAAAAGCCAACTGCTGAGAAGTAGCTGCAATCCAAGTCAGGGTAGGAGATGAAGGCTGTGTGATTGCCCAGTAAGATCCCATCTCCTCTGTTCTTTCTCCTCCTGGCCCCCTTTGTCTGGACTTTCTCATGTGGCTGGTCCCTGGAGGGGACTGCATCTGCTATTACCTTTTCTCTTTTTCCAGGCAGGGACTCTTGAAGTTCCTTTGACTCCCAGCAGGAACTTGCATACTGCACTCACTGTCTCTCCTTTGTCCTTTCTTTTTAAGTCCTTTTCACGACTGCAGACTCTCAGCCCAAGAAAACTATCTTGTTCTGATGTTCAAGCATCTTTCTAAGGGACAGAATGAGCCCTCCCGTCCAAACTCTTTTAAAACCAGGAATAGCTTTGCCCTCTGCTTTCCTGACCTAGGCCCTGAAAGAATCAAGTTAGTTTCTGCACGTGGCTATACCACAAACTGCAGTGGCTGCCTTCATTGCCATGTATGAGTCTTATGTTCAAAAGACATTTGACTTATTTCCTACCACAAGGATGTGGGAGATTATAGTACATTCATAATGTTCACTTCTCTCCATTCTAAATGCTTAGAATTTAAAATATCAAACAAAAGATGAACCTTAGCTTTCTCAGATCTTTTGTGAAACAAAGGAATAAAAGGGTGTTTGGATGGATGTATGGAAGTACAGCTATATGTGTAAGTCAGCAACAGTTAAGCTCCTGTATTGTTGATGTCCTTGTTTTGTTACCATAATGTGGAAATATTAAGATACACAAAATGGGGATGTCCTATGATATTTTATTGAGAAAGAAATCACTTACGTGAGAAGCCAAGAAAGCCGAGAACCAAAGGTCTGCACGCTGCTCTCCAGGCTGAAAACCAGAACCCAAAGAGAAAGAGTCTCCTCCCTCTAGCACTTTTTATCCCCCCTAAACATTCTACGTACCTGTGAACACACCTACACGGGTGTGGTGAGCACTATGGGTTCGGGTATGTAAGGTCTCTCCCTACATTACCATGTCATCTAGTCCTGTTTATTTTCTTACAGGATCATCTTGCATCCAAACCTACTAGCCCTTCTCTGTCATGACCTAGTCAAGAGCAATTTATATCTTACCTTCATTTTCACAACAACCTGATTCCACTCACACACTTACTAATATGCTTCCTTCTCTTTGTCACAGCTAAGATGACTTTCTGGAACAAAACTCTAATCATACCCCTCCCTGCTTCACAGGATCCTCTGGCTCCCCATTGTTAAAAGGTCAAGTCTAAAATCCTAGGAGAAGCAATCCCTGGGCCTTCTCACCCAACTCTTCAGGGTCCAGTCCCCATCATCATATAGCTTCATTTCTCCTTATCTCCTCCACACAGTCAATGTTGCAAATGCTGGACTTTTTGACACAAAAAAAAAACTGTAGCTGACTCCAGAATTGCTTTTACAAGCCCTCTGTAAACTAGTCCAGAGTAGCTTACTCTTTCTGAACCTTGTCTCTGCAGTAATAAAATAAAAGGGGAGTTGGTGATAAAGAATTAAAATGTAATGGATAACCTGAAATGACCTAACTTAGTGCATATCTCTAGCTCTGCCTTCTTCCTATTGCTCCCTCTACCTGAAGGACATCCTATTCTCTTCCATGTGACAAACAACTCCTCGTCCCTCAGATTGTATGTTATCTTCTTTCTCCCACAGATGGAACTGAGCACTTTCTCCTTGAGTATCCTCCATAATTAAGGACATTTATTTCACCACACTATAATACTATTATTAGATCCTAAAAGATAAAATCAATGCTTTTTTATTGTTGTTTTAGCCTATACCTTGACCTGATATATAGCAGCTGCTTTTAAAAAATTGTTAAATGAACACATAATATTGTTTTCCAATTCCTGAAAAGCTCAGAGTCTTGAAGGGTCTGAGACAGACAAAAATAACCACACTATCAGACTAGATAGAATCAGGACTCAAGAGGGAGAGTCACAGTATGACCAGCCAGTGCTTCCATAGGAGGCCACAGAGGGGCAGGGAAGCCTTCAATGCAAAAAGTCCTGAAGTTAGTGTGCAGACTCAATGTCCAATCTTCTTAGCTCCTCCTCATAACCATGGTCCCTGTTCTCCTCTTCAATACACCATAAAACTACTAATGTCAAGTGGCAGAACACCAGAGGATTCTTAAACTTCTCTCCATAGTTCACAGAGGATCACCTAGAAGAGCAGCTCCTCAGTCACAAGGCAATTCCAAGTAGTAATTCTAGCTTTGCTTATAAACCCTGAAGCCTGAGAGTCACCAACAAATCAGCATGCCTTTGAAGATGAAAACTGCTACTCTAGGTCTGAAAATTGTAAAGCTTTAGTGTTAGGTCTTCATTACATAACTACTGGGGAACAGATATCTAATTTTTAGAATATCAATAATTAGACTCCCCAAATGAAATTGAAAAATAATGAACCATGACTTACCAATCTATTTTAATATAATGTAGAAAGCAATTCCCATCTTTCTTTATAACATAGGAGGATATTCAATAAACTCTGAATATAAGATTTTATAAGGAAAGGATTTTGTAATATAATATGCTAAAAAGCTAGAAATGTTGATGTTGAAGCCAATAGAATATGACCATCATCATAAGTTAGCATTTTTCAGTGTCTTTATCTCTGTCACTTTATAGTTCTAGTTTGAAAAATGCTAACATGTATTGAAATGTCTCCCATCAATAGCACTGACTAAAATATCAAATAACTCTCTTTTGTCACCATTCAACTGTTCATACTCCTTTCCTGGCAAGAAATCACACAGAATGCCCTCCCAGGGATAACTGTAGCTACCATTGACTCAGAGTTTCCAATGTGCCAGACAATCAACTAAGTAGAATTTCATTTAGAAAGTTCACTAGAAGCATAGCTTATAGTTATTTTTTAACCTCTGTACCTTTGAAACTCAACCAACATCACACCATATACACCAGAAATACAGTGAGGGACAAATAGGACACCAACATTGCCTGTGGGCTATCCTAGAGAAACAAAGTAAAACCATTTAGAACAAAAGAAAGCTTACATTTCCAAAAGCACCTAAAACACAAGAAAGTTTCTGCAAGAACATCAGTGACATGGCAGACTTGATCATTCCCTACACACCCCCTAGCTTCCCTCTTTCCCATGTGTTCAAACAGTATGTGGGACTAGTATGTCAGCCAGCTCTGACACAGACGACTCCTAGCTAGTTTTCAGGAGAGCTTTCCTACCCAGTTCTATTACTCAATCAAAGAAAAATAACAGCAACGTAAGACAATATAAAATACAACTTATTTGAGAAACAGCCTGAAAGATAATTGGTCAACTCTTTCCTTGATATGATTGTTTCCTTGTGTATAACTTTTGACAGAAGTATCATCACATGAAAATGTGTTAAGATTGAAGTTAATGGCTTCATGAACAAATTCCATTAGTTACCTACTCATAGGCCAATGTTATTTCATATCTACCCTGCTCTTGGTGTGAGAGATACGCATAGCTATAAATAGAGCTGGAAATACATGTCACTGGATGAGGCTTTGCTTTTCTGCTTTGTTTTCCCTTCTATACATAAGCACCTTTCTCTTTCATTGTATCATTTAATCCCGTTTTTAAATTTGAGAACACATGTATATTAAATCTCTTCTTTCTAGTATAAAATGATTTCAGTGATTTTTCAAAACATTTTTGAGTATTTGGAATGGGTGTGTTAAACTGTTTAGAAATTGTCAGCCAAAAGGTGAACATAATATATGTCTTCAAGGCAAACAGTTATTTGAGTGCTTTACAACTCGTAAGACACCGAAGCTATCAACACAGAAGGAGATGAGAAACTTTTGACTGAAAGACAATAGTTTGTATATTTTTAAAGTGGAAGGTAGCGTTTATATGTTTTCATATGAATGTGGAGTTAGCCCATCACTATCTGCATCCTTACAGAGCATCTTCTAGAAACCATTTCTTGGAGTAGAAATATTTTACTCACAAAACCTCCAATTGACTTTTTTCTCATAGATCGAATTGCACAGAACATCATTAAGTCCCATCTGGAGACATGTCAGTACACAATGGAAGAGTTACATCAGCTGGCATGGCAGACCCACACCTACGAGGAAATAAAAGCATATCAAAGCAAGGTACTCCGGGAACCATGGAGATTATCTCTGTATTTGGTTTCTTTTTCTCAACCTTATTGACATTTTTGGCCTGAGCATTCTTGGCTGTTGGGCTAACCCTGTGCATTGTAGTGGCAGTTTGCTGCCTTTCTGGTTTCTGCTAACTGAGAGTATCCACAACATACCAACTTCCACACAGCTGTGGCAACCAAAAAATGTCTGCTTTTTGTCAAAAGTTCCCTAAAAGGTGTAACTCCCCTGATTGAAGGCCATGGCCCCATTTGAATGACCAGGGAGATGGTGCCTTTGTCAGATGGTTTGGGACTTCTGGTATCTATGGATTCAGTCACGGAGCAAAAGACATTAGATGGTCACCACAAAAAGTGATGCCCAATGTTGCTAAAAAAAACACAAGAGGCAAAACATTCTACATTTTTATTCTTGCCCAACATTCTTGAAAACAGCCCTAGAAAAGGGCACTATCAGTAATAATCATGTTTCCCTAAGGACACTAGACACATTGAAGGGAAAGGGTCGCTCCTGGGGGCTCAGGATTCATATTACTTGACTTTGGAACTGAGACTGGCAACCACAAGTTCTGCCCGTTGAGGGAAATTTAGTAAGTGAATGTGTTTATCTAAACGTATGATTTAAACAACATGGTGATCTGATTCTTGCTGCTTTTGCATAATTATAGAAATAGACATTAAAAATCCATAAAAAGTAGACTTCAAAGTCATGTAGATTTAGATTTCTTAGTTCAAAGAAAATGACTAAAGTACCAAAATACATTTGAAGTTCTATATTACTTATTAGAGTGACTTAACTTGAACTCGTATCTTTCCTTTGAATTTCTCTTATACAAAAAAAATTCTGACTCAAGTATGGTGGCTTCTGCCTGCAATTCCCACACTCAGGAGGCCAGGACACAAGGATTCCACAGATCTGAGGCCCCTTTAAGCTCCATATTGAGTTCTAGGCCAATCTGGGTTACACTGCGGCACCCTGCCCACCCCACCTCCATAAAATAGCCAACAACCAGAAAATCAGGATTTTTTTCTTAAATTCTAGGGAAATAGCGCAGCATAAAAATATTATGGTTGGTGTCCACCAGGTTTCCCCCCACCCAAAAAAAACTATTATGGTAGCTGCTAGGATAAAATCACATGGGGTTCTGTTTTTATCTAGCAGACTGATAAGTTTGTTGCCATAAGAAATGCAGAAAATAGTTGTTTTGCATTCCATAAACATTGTTTCTCCTAATTTAGCTTTGGTAAATTAGGTCCTTTGACAGTTGAGCACAATGGAATTCACATAATTCGAAAGAGAAAGGAAAAAATAATCACTTTTCCCATCTTGGGTGGCAGTGGCAAGTGGGACAGGGTACGCTCATCAACCCCCTGGAGGAGGTGAGTTCAACGTCTGTGTCCTCTGCTTCAGTCCAGGGAGGCGCTGTGGCAGCAATGTGCCATCCAGATCACCCACGCCATCCAGTACGTGGTGGAGTTTGCAAAGCGGATTACAGGCTTCATGGAGTTGTGTCAGAATGACCAGATTTTACTTCTGAAGTCAGGTAAGCCAGGCTGACCTGTGGGGGCCTGTTTCTGACAGGGACTGTTTGACCCTCAGCACTCTGATGGTCTGAGAAAATCCTGCTTCCACAGGTAGGTCGTCTTACCACCCACATTGTCAGCTAACTCCCTAAGGAAACTCAGTAATAAAAATGCCCGTTATTCATTCATTTCCCCCTTTGAAGTCAAATACAATTTTGCTTATTGAAAGTAGAGCTATTAATTGCAGAGGCTGAGGAGCCCAGCTTGACAGGCAGTGAAAGTAATTAGCGTGTCAAGGTGGCTGAATTGCTGAGCTGGCGCTAACACCAGCTCCATGCCTTCTGCAAGAGAACAAAAATCCAGTCTGGCTGAGCTCAGCCTCTATGGTCACTTCCAATCATTTTAATGAGATAGCCTGCAGCAGGGATCCACTGGAAGAAACTCCTTGGTTTGGGGATTCTTCCTTCTGCTTCTCAGATGCTCTTTTTAACATGCAAGCAACCCCTTAGGAACTTAACATAAGATTAATACTGAAGATGTTGTTGCCTTACCAAAAAAATTCTCATGTCTTTCTTGGAACCCTTTAAAAAGAAAATTGGGACACAGTAGCATTTGGGTTTATCTTCCTAGACTTATCAACAATGAAAATAACTTCCTTTTCTCGTGCACATGTCTTCACGTTTACATGTCTCATTTATTCTTATAAGATCACTATCATTTCATACTTGAAGCAAATATGGTAAAGATGAAGAAAGGTCAAAGACTCTGTTCAATAACACAAATAATGCAGTATTACAAATATCACATGATAAAGGTGGTATTTGAATATAGGCCACATACAGTTGTTATGGCAACAATAATGTTGAGTCCTTAACTAATAACTAATGGGCAAAACCTCAAATCAATCATGAATTCCAGTGTTATCAATTATTTATTTAATCATCCTAAAATTTGAAAAAAAATCACCTATTTATTTTGCCCTCAAAGTACAGTTTATAGGGAATGGCTTGTCCCTGTATACTTACCTTAAGTCACATTGGGCTGTGTATACCATCCTCTGTCAGTTAAAGCCATCATGAAAGCCTGCCCAGGTTCAAAGGTACCAGGTATGGCTTCTACCTCTTGGGTTTAGGATACTTTTGTGACTCTCATCAAAACCAAAATCTGACCCATCTGACGTATGACCTTGAACTGACTGATACCTTAAGATATCAGTGTCCTTACCTTTAAAATAAAGAATGGAACTAGAAACATGGAACTCCAAACTAAGAATTGTATCACATGCAGCAAAGAGCTTCCCAACCATTCAGAGATGCAGTCACCATCACAGACTACAGAATTCAAACCTGTTAGAAGGGAACCCAGTTCAGCATATGTCTGAGATTCAAATGTCACCAATTCATGGCTGGTATTTGGGAGGCTACTGAATTATGTAGTCATTAACATCTCTGCCTCCTGCATAAATGTTCTCTCCAGAAATGGTAGTTACCACCTCAAAGCCTCCTGTAATTCCTCACTGGGGCTATCTAAAATTCACTAGAAATGGTCAGTGAAAGCTTCAAATATGAAAATGACTGTAATGGGCCCAGGAAACTATCTTCCATAGCATAGATAAGCAATAAATGGTGTCAATTCCCATTGGTGCCAAGATGGCCCTGTAGGGTTAATGTTCATGCATCTTCTCCTATCTTTAAACCCAGAAGGCTAACAGTAAAGAAAATTCAGCAAAGCAGAGAAATAAAACACAGACATGAATATAAAGTGATGGCATAAGAAGCAAATGGACTGTATGGTCTTCATACAGAGTATGGGGCTTTAGAGGCTCTCTCTTCAAATGGACTTTATGGTCTTCACACAGAATGTGAGACTTTAGAGGCTCTCACCTTCAAATGGGGTGAAGCTCACATCTCCAAACTACAGAGAAACTGCAACAGTAGAGCTTCTGAATATAAATGTATGCCGGGAGGGGAAAAAAGGCAGTTGATAAATTCGTTCAGTAAACATTATTAAGCACCTACTGTGTGCCAGAAACTTTCTGTGTTCCTATGTGATGATAGACTGAATGAAGTTCCCCAATAGCCTGTTGCTGTTTCGTGTGGCAGGGAAACCCAAAGGTGAATTTTCCCAGCAGTAGCCCTTAGAGAAAGCTCACAGATTAGATGTGAGGCTGACACAAATCCTCCCTGAACCATTTATCATTTATAGGTTCAAAAGCTGAAGTGAAATCTAAAATTAGTCAAAAATCAAAATAAATGCTTCACTTGCCACAAAATGATATTTCTACCTTCCTTTAAAGTATATTTTTCTTTAATTCTTTATCTAAGTATCAAAAGATCTTTCTAGAATTATTGCCTTGTGTTTGTGTGATGTGTGTTTGTGTGTGTGCGTGTGCATGTGCGTGTGTGTGTGTGTGTGTGTGTATGTGTGTGTGTGTGTGTGTGTGTGTGTGTGTGTCATGGGTAGAGGTACCTTCAGAGGCCAGAAGAAAGTATAGAATTTCCTGGAGTTGGAGTTACAGGTTGTTATGACCTTCCTGACATAGCTGTTGATAATTCAACTTTGGTTCTCTGGAAGAGTAGCAAGTGCTTTTAATAGCTAAACCATCTCTCTAACCCCCTAAAATTACTACTTTCAAAGAAGGAATCTCTTGAAAGTTCCTAGATTTGGTAGAATAGCTCAGAACTTGGGGGCTGAGGCAGAAGTATCATGAGTTTAAAACCAGCATGCTCCATAGAGAGATGCTGTATCAAAAAAGTTCTAAAATGCTTCCCATCTCGTATGCACTAGGACCGCTTTATTGTTGGATATATGGTATATGTATATGCATTTTTAATTCCTTTAACTCTGTACACACTGGGGACCACCTTATTGTTGGCTATATGATACACATTTTGAATTCTTTTATCTCATAGGTTGCTTGGAAGTGGTTTTAGTGAGAATGTGCCGTGCCTTCAACCCATTAAACAACACTGTTCTGTTTGAAGGAAAATATGGAGGAATGCAAATGTTCAAAGCCTTAGGTAAGTTTCCCTTGGATGACAACAGAGCTTTACTAAGTGTCATCAGCTTCCCCACTTAGACTGAAATGGCAAATGATATGCCTTGCTCTACTAGTATCTCACTATTTGATTGGCATTAGACCAGGTGAGTGTTCAGTATTTCATCCAACTCTCCAGTTCCTGTAATTTCAGTCCCTAATCAGGAAGGGAAGGAAAGAGCCATGAACCCTGTTAAAACTGGCACAATTGAGGCCTTGTGGAAATAAACAAAGTCTGATGATAAATGAGTTGGGTCTACTCTAGGTCACTCATTGTACAACCACCATTTTTTCCCAGCTTCTGGTCTACTGCTCTACAGAGCATATTACATAGACCACTGGGATTCTATGGCAGTGACCTGTAAGTTTCTTAAGTAAATTCATAACCATTGGTCAAGATAATTAAAGAGAAATAACCATGTATAATAACCATAGCAGTCTGTCGCTAAACTTGTTTCCCTTCCAGAAGAGTATGTATCTTCCTGTGAACTCTGAGTCTCTGGGAGCACAGACAGTTGGCAGTGACCTGGCCAGGGTGACCCCTAGACCATTCTGTGTACTACACTAATAGGATCGATCTTTGGAGGTGCCATATAGCCTCCTATTCAAACATCAGGATAAGGCATTCATGAGAACATTAGCAAAGATGGGCCGGTGCCAGGAAAGGTCTCAACAAGTGATAGGGCCACTTGTTCCATATCCAGCCACGGACACCAAAGAAGTCGCTGCCCTTTCACCTCTTGTACTGTTAGCTGATATGGCAGCCACCAGCCAGCTCAATGGGCTGGTACCATTCCCCTTCAACAGTTGCCATGCCTCCAGGTTCAAGAAAGGAGGAAAAGCCTTGGCAGGCAGCTTCGGGATATTTCCAGCTTCATCAAATAAACATTTACAGAGATCAGCGCAGGGATAACAATGCTATTTTGCCAAAATTCACAATGACTAAGGAACTGACCTGTGAGCCATTTAATTAAGACAATGAAAATCAGTCTGGGGAGGGGGGGCTGCACAAAATGAAAGAAGCTCGTTGGCATTGTGTAAAAGTCTCAGTTTGAAGCCCCTGGATACCTCATGTTCCACTGCATGACACATTGTGAGCTCCAGTGTAGAACTTTCTAGGTTTTCTCTGAAAGCTGTGTATTTAAGTCTAAAGGATTCTCAAACCCCCTATTTAAAAGATCTTTGAATTTTTTTCTTTTGTTTTTGAGCTTATAGTATAATTGTGTCATTTTTTCCTCTTCCCTTTCCTCCACCCAAACTCTCCCAAATGGCCCTCCTTGCTCTCTTTCAAATGTGCTGCCTTTTTTATTAATTGCTACTACAGCACACACACACACACACATTATATATATTTCTAAATATAACCTGCTCTGTCTGTGTAATGTCACTTCTATGTCTGTTTTCAGGGCTGATCATCTGCTTTTTGACTAATTCCCGGGGAAAACTATTCCTCCCACTCTCAGCATTCCCTCATTGTCTACAGTTCTTTGTGCAGGGCTAAGGCCTCATGGTCTTCCCCTCATCCACTTTGGCATATCTTTTGTTGTTCTTATTCAGCTCCTGTCTAGGCAGTCACACTGGTGACTTTATGGGTGTGAGACAAAGTCTCACCATGTCCCCAGGCTGACCTCAAGCTTGCAATCCCCCTGCTTCACCCTTCAGAGTGCAGACATCCTACACACATACCATGTGCTATCAAATCCAGCTTACTAACTTCTAAGCTAGAAATGCTTTCAGATTTGTAGAATTCAGGGTTCTCAGATGGTGTGACATGGAGTACTCACTAGCCAGTATTTACCCCCGTGTCGCTTACACTATCTTCAGTTACCTGGCAAAGGTGTTGCCCGGTTTCCTCATTCTACACTTAACATCAAATCGCTTCCTGTGACTGAGAGCTGAAATGTCCCGGCTAGCTGTCTGATATGCAAACCCTTGAGTACCTACTTGATAATGAGGTATTTCTTCCTGTGCCCCATTCCAAGTTCAAGTATTTCTATTTAAGATTTCTCCTTCCTTTTAGGTTCTGATGACCTGGTGAATGAAGCATTTGACTTTGCGAAGAATCTGTGTTCCTTGCAGCTGACTGAGGAGGAAATCGCTTTGTTCTCCTCTGCTGTTCTGATATCCCCAGGTAGGAAGGCACGGGTCCCTTGCCTTCTTTTCAAACCTGCTTCACTATCTTTAACATCAATTACACCTACCCAAGCCAAAGCGGTCAAGAAATAACTTTAAAGAGACTGTATTTTCTCTAGCAGTTGTTTGATATTTTTGGACAATGCAAAGGCAAGTGGCCTCACATTTATTAAAATGGCCAATTTTCCCCCTAAAACAAGAAAGTCTCATGTGACAAGGATCACCCAGAAGCAAGTAAGCAAAATTATTCCTCAACAAACAATAAAAAGTGAATAGTGGCTTGACTGAGTGGCTGAATTCTATTTTGAGTTTAAGAATAAAGGACAAATGTTTTTTTAATGTAGAATCCAATACATTAAATGAAAGACCAAGTGTAGGAACCTTAATTACCATTTTTAGACTTTTCTATTCACAGTACATTGCAGTTTTCTTTCAAGACAACTATCCTTGGCAATATTAAGCATTTCCAAGGGGAACGATAGCTATGGAGCAGGGCTTGCCTGGTGGAAAGGAAGAATTTCAAACATGGCTGCATGCCATCGTTTATCTATGTGACTCCAAAGCTGTAGTTCCCTCATTGATAAAATAAGGCAACAGACCCTACAATGCTGTGGGGGCAATAGACCCTACAATGGTGTGGGGGCAACAGACCCTACAATGGTGTGGGGGCAATAGACTCTACAATGGTGTGGGGGCAGGGAGGGGGAATGACAGCACACCTTCTCTGGCTCTACAATGCAGTAAAATACTAAACTATTTTCCAAACCTAAGATATGACATTTAAGGATCAACTAAAATGGTAGCAATGGATGTATTTTAAAGTATATGACCTGACTTAAGTATAACAATAAAGAGTTTAGTAATGTATAATCATATAATATAATAGAAATAATCTGACAGCAAATATGCTCCCTCTTCGACCAGAGTTGCTCAAGCAACTGTCTGTTAGATGTGTGGCATAACAGCTTGTTGGCAGCTCACTAATGAATGAAGAATGCACCCCTTCTCAATTTTAAGATGAATGCTTTTTGCAATCCATTTCTCTCTGAGATCAACCTCTTTACTTACATCCTGACATTTTTACATAGTTATAATTCTATCATATCTTTGACATGTCATTCAAGCTACGGTCGCAAATAGATGCCTCTGTACTTTCCTATCCAGAGGCTATCTTACTCACAATATGTTCACTGATAGACCAATCAAGTCTTTAAAAAATTGCTTCTGGTTTCTATTTGACCCTTTTCATCAAAAACTGAAAGACCCAAGAGCATAAACACAGATAGGGAAAGTGACAAAAGTCCCTTCTCTAATAGAAACTACATACAAGATCCTGTCCTCTCATGTTCTCTCACTGCATTTGATTTTCTGCTCTGAGCTCTGTTCCATGGAAGATGACTTCTATGGATGCAGAAGACAGCCCCCCTGTTTCCTTCTTACCCAAAGGAAGAGCCTTACAAAAACTCCCTTCCTCTTTGGGCATGTTTGTGGAACTCAGAGAACCCTTAGCAGCAAATGCTGAGGACATGTCATCTTCAGTTTGACAGAGCAATGGAAATGACCATTCCAGAAGACTAGGTTGATCTCCATGAGTTAGAAATCAACTGAACTCTTTAGCCTTTTTGAAGACTCCAGATGCTGTCCTTATGCTCTGAAGAGTTTGGAAGCATTCTATTTGCCTTACTTTCTCTGCCCAGTGGGGAATCTTCCAGCCTTGGTAGCAGACCCACACTCCAAGGCTTTGCACTATCAAATACACTGCTAGTCATCCTGGCATAGGGCCAGGCTTAGAGTAAATGGAAGATAGATCTGTGTCCTCTTGGGTCACACCCCACTCTTCCCCAGCCTTTTGACTGAATAGCTACTGTCTATTTACTCCCAAATAGCTTAAGGAAGGACATGGGGAACTCGATTTATTCTGATTGACAATTGTCACTGAAGTCCTTTGTGCTCACTTACGTAATGGCTTGCTTAACTCTTGGCTTGACTTGTCCTTGCCCTGTCTAGGATTACAGAATCAAGTTTCTCACCCGACCTGAACTGTGTTCAGGAAGATCTTGGCCAAGTGCTTTTCCATGAGTATTTGTTCAGTGTTTGGAGACTCCCAAAGTCTCTTGAGCAAACTGAGGCAATGATACTAGGCTGACTACACTTTGTCACCATGATGTATAAAGCTTCTAAGCAGAAAGGAAGGAAGGAATGGAAAGAGAGAATGCTAGGAAAATGGATGTGGAAAGAGCTAGGGAAGGAGAAATGGGGGATTAACCTACTTATCACCTAATTCGGGACAGGAAAATCAGACTCAGAAGTTCGTTTCTGAAATTGATGTATGTGCTCTGTGAATCATAGTAAATATAAGCTTTATACTTGGTAAAGGAATAACTCAAGCTAAGAAAATGAGTTGTAGCTGCTAACAGTCTTCCTATATGGTTTCAAATCAGTTTTTCTGCTTTGAAAGAAAATGTAAGCATCTTTCTGGAGGAGAAAAATGCTGAAACAGTTACCAGCACTAGGCAAAGAAGGACTTTGACCCAAATGGCATCACTTTGTAGCTGGCTTCATGGCATTATTGCTTATAGCCTATTTTTGTTTTATATAAATAATTACCTATCTTCAAAAGCAACTTACGACTGGGTGAGATGGGCCCTAAACTCAGTGTTCATACATGCATGGGAAGCAAGCAAAGCATGTGTGCCCTTTTCTTACTCTTTGACTTTTTTCCCCTTGTCAGACCGAGCCTGGCTGATAGAACCAAGAAAAGTCCAGAAGCTTCAGGAAAAAATTTATTTTGCACTTCAACATGTGATTCAGAAGAATCACCTGGATGACGAGACCCTGGCAAAGGTAAGTCCTCAGGTCACAGGCCCGCTGTACCCAAAGGAGCTCTACATGAGCAAGGAGAACTCAGCAGAGTATAAATGAAAACGTGTGCTCTTTCAAAGGGAGATCAGTACATTGTAAGACCCTGAGGAAAAAGAAGCTTTGTTTGAGGAGTTGTTTTGGGCTTTAGCTGGTTGCTTGTCAGAGAGGGCCTGGCTATGTACCCCCAGAATGACCTTGAACTCATGACCTCCCCCCCTTCTTACTCCATGCCTCAGCTTCCCAAATGCTAAGGTTGTGGTTGTATAGTACCATGCCTGGCTGGGGAAGATTGCTTTCCTGGAGTAAGGACATATTGACAGATCAGAGTCCAAGTCCCAGGGAGACAAAACAAATGACCCACAGGTATGTCAATGTCATCAGATGAACAGACAATTGAACCTGGGAATGAAGCCTTCAAATTCATCAGTGAGGAAAGAGCAGGCTGTACCCCCTTCAGTAGTCAGGTCTGTGCCAAATTAAGATCACTAAGATATTTATTCAAAATTAGGAAGATGCTTCGAATGCTGTGTGTGACTTTCTGAACACAGGAGTGGGTTGCCATGTGAAGAAGTAACAAGCCACTACTCATCGATGAGTCAGGCTCTGCCAGATGCTGTCTGGTGACCTCTCAGATGTTTCACCACAGTCCTTTCCCTTCCACTCTGATGTTTTCATATATGTCTGAAATAACTGGTGTTATTTCAACATGCTGACATACCTTACCCATGTCTTTTTGTGTGCCAACTTTTCTTGTGGAGATGCAACACACGTGTCTATTTACCTCAAGTAGAAAACCCACGACAGACCACAGATACTACCAAAGTCCAACTTGGTGAACCAATGAGTTTTACGGGGTCACTTACAAGAATGTAATTATAGGAAGAGAAAGGACTCAAAAGCAGCTGCATTATCCAGGCCCACCCTAACAGCTCACAAAAAGTTGGAAAGCTAGAGCACACTGCTCAACCTGCAGACAACTCAACAGGTTGGGGAGTGTCCTTTCCAAGTAACTCTGGTCTAAACTTCATCCAGGCAGCTTGGCTGGTTTCTGCTTCTCCCGGGGAAGGTGTTCTGGTCTCTGGGTCTTCTTTGCAGCCTGGATCTTCTGAAAGTCTTTGTGGCTTAGCTCTGCCAGTCTCAGAAGGAGTCTCAGCTTTGTTTGCTTACTCTAGCAGAGAGAGGTCTAGGGAATCTGGTCAGTTTCAGGAACTTCCAGGAACTTTTGAGTTGTATACCTTCCTGCTTAAGGAGCTTCCCTTCCAGGTGGAATGTTTCAATCTCCAAGGAAACTGTTACACAATAGAGAAGTACTGAGAAAAGCTGTTTACCAAAGTAAAATGACCATAGAAGGAAGAAGTAATTGTCATTGATTGACATTCAGCATTATTTTAAACCTTAAACTGATTTCTCAAGTACTAGAACTTTTTAGAGGAACAACATTATTTTAAATTTTAATGTATCTCTAGTTTCTTAAGAATTAAAATTTTCAAAAGGTAAGAAACTGGGGAATTCAACTTATTCTTAAAGATAATAGGAATTCTACTCTTTATATTTTTATCATTAAGCCTTCCCACTCTGTCCTTGGAGTTCTCTTATTTTAAAAAGGAGGAAGGAAAAGACTATTTGGAGACATCATCAGGTTTTACTGAGAACTGCTATATAAAAAAACCCTCCTTAAGTTAAAAATGTTTCTTCATTATGATAAAGTTTATTAAAATTAACATACCATCAGGAAAAACTTTTCCATAGCACTTTACAATGATAGTTCCCTTCAACACTTTTCCTAAGGGCAAGTTGTTTGCTCTCTGTACCTCAGTTTTTATCCAGTCAAGAATACAGCTTGAACCTACTGTTAGCCTCTTTGGACAAAAAAGGCAGCAACTGAATATCTTCATATAAGTCTGTAATTGCTTACTGGCTTGTAGGAATAAGTATATCCAGTGAATTAATGTAGAGAGTTTACTTTTGTCTTGGTGCATTATTCATGGTACATAGCACTAGGTTTCATAAGGACATTTTCATGAAAATATATAATATACCTTGACCGTATCTCCTCCACCTGTTATCCTCTCTTTTCTCTCCAGAAACTTTCTTGCTTGTATTTTGGACCTACCAAAAGTTTCAGTCTCTACATTTACTTCCTAATGTTAGGGTCTTAAAACAGAGTCAAACAAAAATTCTTCCTATTCTTCTTAGGAAGGTTGTCTGTTTGCCTAAAAATCCTGCTCTCAACATCCACACAAGAAGGATTAGAATTTATTGTTTCTGTACAGATGCATAATGATTTCATATATTGTTTCTGTAGGAAGGTAAAATGTTTGTGCTTATATGCTTACTCTAGTTTCTCCATCCTAGTCTCTTGGTCGTGATTTGAACTTTTAAAATTGACAAATGTAATATATTTGATGGCAAGAAAACAATTACAATATTGGTACTTAAACATGCTTTCTTCAGCATTAGTGAAAGAAAAACACATAATTCTATTCTTTTTAATTAAGAGATATTTTTAGAAGATTGGATACTGGGAAAACTCTAGGAAAAGATTATTTCTTGTGCAACATTCTCTGGAGCCAGATAATGATGTGTTAGCTCCCAGAGCTCGTGTGTAAATGCTGAGTTCTTGTTTGGACCATTCTTTTTAATAGCCATCACATGAATTAGATGCTACTTGCTAATGTGAAAAGACCAAAACACAATGAAGAATAGATTCTCACTTGTCCACTTTGGATTCAGATACAAAACTTCAATTGCCTGAGTTTCAGATCCATTATCAAGTACCATGGAGCAGGAGTGGATTCATCAAGTTTCTTATTGCCTAAACATTTTGAGGACACAGGTATTATCAGCATTTAGGACAGTGTGCAAGTCAGCTTGCTGTCTGTATGACCAAAGATCTGATAGTAACAACTTATAAGAAGGAATGGTTTGTTTTGACTCATGGTTTCAGAGGTGTCAGTCCGTGTTCATTTCATTGTAATTTTATGGCCTATGGAGAGACAGAATACCATTGCAGGAACATGTGGTGGAGCCAGGTTGCTCACCTCATGGTAACCAGATTCAAAGAACAAGACAAGAAGAGAGAAGACTCCCAATATCCCCCAGAAGGTCATGTCTTCAGTTACCTTTCTTTCTCTATGCTGCATTTGTTAAAGGACTCACCACCTCCCAACAACACCATACGCTTGTGAATAGGCATTTAATATATGCACAACCGAGGAGCATTTAAGATCCATGGAAAATGAACACCTCCAACAGAACTCCCCCAAAGGAAAAATTTTCATTAATCCCAAGAGAAAGACCACTCCACCCCACTGTAGACTCTTCCCATCTTTATAGAAACTTTTCTTATTCTTTCATGGTCACTTCTTAAATAACAATGGTCATTTTCAACATTTATTCTTCATATAACCCATGGAAAAATCTAAAGCTATTTCTAAGAAGAGCCATACAAATCCTAAATGTTGTATTCAAGGACAAGGCTTAGGTTAAGTCTTCTTCATAGGATGGGATGGGGCACCAGTCAGCCGCTGTTAGAATTTGAAAAAAGAAAATGTTTATACCACTTGCCTGTTTTACTGTGAATAGCTGCAGACGATGGCGAGATAAGGGCACAGTATCTGTACTGTTGTTGAACTTCATCCTGAAAGAACAGACCCCGACATACTTTCAACAAACCTTGAAATTAAAGTTTAGGCAGCAATACTTTATACTTTGAGCCAAACTTCAATTTAGTGAGGATTTGAAAATTTAGGGGTTTGGTATCCATTAACTAGGAAGCTTCAGTGTCTTTATATTAATCAGCTTTTTCCATTTGAAAGGATATTTGAGGCAAAAAAAAAGTTAGAGAATAGATCTTCCTCTTCTTATAAGCATATTAATATGTGCCATATTTTTAATAAATTATCACAGCTATAGAGCTATGTTAGCTAAAAACCCCAAACAAGGGTTCAAACTCCTGTATAACAGGCTGAAAGTGTCACCAGTGTCTTGAGGGTATTTCAAGGACTAAGTTACATAATTTATAAATATTCCATCTAGTCCATAAAGGTATTTACCTTCATGTAAGCTGTTGTGTTTGGGATAGGATTGAGGTAGACAGGGGGAATTTTAATTCAGTAGGGAAATGTCTGTATTAAAAAATAATATGTTTGGAATCATCACTAAAGGATGGAAACGTTTCACAAGACAGAAGTGGATGATGGGGAAAGTGGAGAGTGGGGTTCCACGTGATGGGACAGTATGAAGGTAGGAAAGTAGAAGGCTTGTTCATGCTATAAATAATAGTTAGATTGGGTAGGATCCTGAATTTGAGAAGGCAGGAAATGAGATAACACTGGTCACTTTGATGAAAGCTCATGAAAAAATAAATAGACATATATATTTTTAAGCCCCATATGACTAGAGGAGGCAGCCCATCTGTTTCTGGGCTTCACTTTTCTTGTCTGGAAAATGAGTAGGCTGGATTGCCTGGTCTTTAAGTTCCCTTCAGTATAGCCTCCTTTGATGTCCAAAAGAAAAAAAAAAAAAAAACAAAGATTCTTCCAGACATTCTCTTTGCCCTCCACTGCTCAGTCTTGGGTGGTTATTTTAAGGACTCCTTAGATATTTTTCGTTGTAATGGGGAACAGAAAAGGATAGTTTTGTCCCATCTTGCTGATTCAAATTGGCACTGTGTGTCATAACCATGCGGGGTGATCTTTGTGACCAAAGCTTACAAACGTGCAGTGTTGATGATGCATGTCCAGAGGCCAGCCTCTCTCTCCATCATCTCTGCGGGGCAGTTCCAGCTCCTGATGTGGCAAACATTGACCTGGCTCATTAGGGGAGATGTGGTAGGTTTGCTTCCTAGGTAAGGATCTATGAGGTTCAGGATCCAGTTGAGGACAGCAGGACTGCTGAGTAAATGGAAGATCAGTAGTAAATTCTGAACTGTGAAGAATGCTCACTTCAGATCTCTTGCCTGTCATCCTCCTTCATCATAA